GTAATCAGTTTGTAGCAAACTCCAACGTAATATAATAAAATTGTTTTCAAATAAAATATTTTATTTCGTAGTAAAATAATAAATAAACAATATAAGAATAGCAAACAGTACAAGTAAACTTCCGTTTAACATAGATAACGGAAAAGTTATTTTGCCCCGGTCATCTTGCCCCAAGCTAATACAATCTTTAAAATGAATCAAAACTATACATAATCAAGTTATCATAGACTAATACTTCTTGTATGGCTTCCAGATTAATCAAACTAAATGAAAATTTCTCGCTTAGCTTTAGGTGGTGATGTAGCGATGAAATAAATAAAGTCAAACGAGGAGAAAAAACTTTTTCTCAACGTCGGAAAAAATACTTAACTTTTGTCACAAAAATAATATTTAAAAAATATTACGGGTCAGATCAGCTAGTTGCTATTATTTTAAACTTTTTAAAAGCATAATTTAATAACTGAGCTATGAAATGAAGTTATTATTAACAACTATTTTTGTCATTTTTTATGGCATTTGTTTTGTTGAAAATGAAAACCTAAAAAAAATTATTAACAACCCAAATTATCTCTTTTTAAGGAAATTGGTAACAATATTTTTTTAACGTTCAGTATCAGTATAACAAGATACCTAAAACAATAAATTTATTTATTTTACGCCTTTTAAGTTCATCTTGAAATAAAATTGTTATTAATTTTATAAAGATCCAACTTTTTTTTGTCAATAAATTTATTTTCGATAATGTTGCATTTAAAAATTTACAAAGAGTAGTTCACAGAATGTTTATTAAAACCTAAAAAGTTCCAAAAAGGCTGCTTCTTTTATGCTAGAGGTAATAAAAAATCATTATAACTACGTCACTAAGAAATTTCAATAAACTCGGTAACGTGCAAGCTTTTATATCTCATAGAAAATGCTTTGGAGAAACCATTTTAAAGATCTTCAAAAAACTGTATTTAGCTTTATATATTTTATTTTATCACATTTGCAACAATGCGCATGAATTTGCAATTTGACAATTTCCTATTCATCGTGAAATGAGAAACGTGAGTCAACAAAAAAAAAAAATTCCATTATTAAAGAGGTACTTAAAACTTTTTAAATAAAATAAAATTAACAAAAGCTATATAACGTAACGAAACTTTAAAATAACTCACAGTGTAATGTAATTTTTTCCGGCTCAGTGTGAAATAAGTTAACCTTTGAAACAAATGATTGCGATTTTTGCTGGGATTTTTTATGTCCTGCTTTAAATAAAGTAGCTTCGCTCTAATATTAAGGATATGAAAAAAAATCTGTAGAAAATAAAATAACATAATGCATTATTTTAATGTATATTTTAACTGTAAATATAGGCGGAGAAACGAGCATTTTTTAAATAAAATTTTAGAAATAAAAATATATACTTTAGTGCGCAAAATTGTATTTTTTAAAAAGGTAGCATTGTAAAAGTGCTAAAATATTTTTTACTTTTTTACACTTTATAAGTATTTATTAGACTTTCTTCCTTTAACTTCTATTATCAGTGTGTATGTACATAAACAAGCGATAAGAAACAATTATGTTACTTTTAAAAAAAATAGCTTTTTAAAACATTTTAAGACATTAGGTACCTTGTTTTTAAAGTTTTTTTAACTTTTATTAATGTCGCCAGAACTTTTCTGGCTATGGCGACTCTATAGGTTTTCAAATCTTATCGTAGTAATTCTTTTTCAACTTTATCTCTTGATTTGTTTTGTATATTATTTTTAAAGATTATCTCATAAAAATCCTGTTGCTTCGAGTCGACCTTTCTAAATCCTTTAATAGACAACGAAGTTGTTTCTTTTGTTTAAGTACGACTATGAATGATTATATGCATGAACAAAAATGAAACAAATGGGTTGCGATATTTTCCAATAAACCGTGGTTGAAGTTTGTTGTTCTGCAGTTTTTCAATGAACTGTGAATAAAACGAAGCAACTTATTTATGAACAACAATTGTAAGAATTATGACACTAAGTGTAACGATTTGTACTTGGTGAAACGATTTGCAATTTTTACCTTTCCGTCGTGTGAAACGATTTGCATTTTGGTATGAAAAAATTGCACAACGAGTTGCATAAACGATGCAAATCGTTTCACGCAAAATGGAAAGAAATTAAATTAGTCGTACTGTGATCATTAACCGCGCTCGATATCTTTGTAAAACTATTATTATTAAGTTATTAAATAACGATCGTATAGGTTAAACAAAAGAGTTGAAATTAATTTGAAATTTTTATTGGTTATTTCTGGTTTTGTATTTTACTTATTATTTCTGGTAATAATTTCTGGTAACACATTTCTAACTTTAACCTTTTATTGGTACTTTGGCATCGTTATATTATTCCAAGTAAAAAAAAAAAAATTAATAGAAATTGTGAAAATAACTTTACTCGCTCTAAGTAAAATATTAGCGTAATGGCGTCAGACCAACTTAAATGTATCAAAGAAAAAGTTGGACGAAAAGCAACATGAAAAAAACCACTTATGAAACAAAAAACTAATGACAAAAACAAATTGACAACTTTAATAAATTGAAAATCGTTCCTTGTTTTTCAAATTTTTTAGTAATGCTTGAAAGAAATCTGTTATTAAAATAGGGGTCATTGGATTTCAATTAAAATAGGTTTCAGCTCCTCCACTATTTCAAAACTTTTTTTCGAAAAACAATAGGCTTTATTGCGCACACGTGGCAAATAAATTATTGCGAAAAATATTAAAGTAAATATTAAAAGTAAAAGACACGTAAAAAAAAAAAAAATAATCAGGATAGTGGCACCAATTCAATTTTTTAGTCTTTGAGATAGCTAACTTCCAGACATGGAAACATTTATATGTTTATACTTATGTCAAATAAGAATGCATTGCAAAAAAATACGATGAGTGGAACCTGGAAACAAAAAAGCCCTAAAATTTTCGCCCCCGCCCCAAGCGTGAGAGCAACAAATTAATGAAATATTTTTTGTAATATTTTCAACTATATTTATATTTATCGATAAATTTAAAATTTCATTGTAAAATATTTTCGCGTTCAAAAATTATGACCATATAAAGTTTAAACCCCCTCAATTTGAGTGGGTTGCAAATTTTATACTGTCATAATATCAATGAATATAAGTCTAATTGAAAATAGTACAAAAAATATTTCATCAACTTGTTGCTCTCACGTTTAGGGCAAGAAAATATCAGGGCTTTTTGGTTCCCAGGCTCCAATCATCGTAATTTTTTGCAAAGCACCCTTATTTGACATAAGTATAAACATAAATGTTAGGAGTTTGCTCCATATCTGGAATTTAGCTATCGCAAAGACCAAAAAATTGAATTGGCGCCACTGAATCAGGAGAAAATACGTCAACAAATAATCAAAGGCGCCAAAAAAGTTTTTAACTTGAAATATTTCATCTACAGAATTATCCTACAAGAAAGTTATTGTATATTTAACATTCAAGCAATGTTTCACAAGTCAACAAAGTAAATTGAATTTCCAAAACCATAACTAAACTTTTCACAAAATAAAGTAACTATTCTATTAGTTATTAGTTACTCCTACGATAGTTTTTTTTTTTTTTTTTTTTTTTTTGCATTTTTACAAATTACATAAATTGCATATATTTAATTAATATTTTAAATTACTAAACTTTATGATTTGATAATAAGAAATAAAGCTTTTTTAATAAGTTTAAAACTATGTCTCTATAAAAAAAAAATAGTTTTCTTACATAAACAGTAAAGTAATTTAAAAATGTACTAAAAGCACCTTCTGTATATTAGTTATATTTGAAGAATTTGTTTTGGAATTAAATTTTTTTATTTACATATAATATTAAAAAAAAGTTATATAATAAACAATAAATACTTCAATAAAGAAAAGCTTTAACATCAACGAAACAGTTTCCTAAATCTTTCTTGTATTTCAAATTGGAATCATATCCGTTAGCACTATTCTTGATAAGAACATTTTTTCTTTAAAACCATAAATGGAGAAATATGAAGTTACTCAGAAAGAGTACAAAGTTTTCTACTTAAATTTTCTCATTTTAACTGCATCCTTAATTTCCACTGTTTGACTTCTTAATAGATAAAGAAGTTTGATTAGATGATAGATCTTTTTGACGATAAATATTTCATTTTGATTCTAAACCATGTATGAAAGTATACTTAAGCCACAAATTGAGCAAGAATGTTAAGTCTTTTTATAGTAATATTTTCTGTGGCAAATATTGACACATGCTTTGTCTAGATCTAAAGATTCTGTGTACCTGATTGAAGACATGAAACTAACTTGAAGCTTAATAAAATGCCGGCGGACATTAAAATTTCCTCATGAATACAAATTAGAAGTGTAACCTGATGAAGAAGTTCAAACTTTTCTAATTATCTTATTTATTTTAAAAATAGTTTCCTTATGAGCCGGGTAGTTTCCCTATGGGCGGGTAGATCCAACAAAATTTGCAATTAAATGTATTAAAGCCAGCTGATTTGCATTTTATCAACAACATTTTATTGTATTAAGTTACTCTAGATAAGTTGATAACTCACCATCCTGTTAATTAGATTTTTAGAACCTAAACCTTTCATATTTATGGTTTGAAAATTTCTCTAAGGTTCAGGTAAAAATTACAGCTTCTTAAGTTATTTGTTTGGACCTTATCTGATTATTATGAAGTCAATAATTCGTCAAATAACAACAGTCAGGTTCAAAAGCAACATGTTTTTCTGCTTTACAATTCTTTGAATAATCTTTTTAGTAATTTTATTCAAAGTATTTTTTAATGGTAATAAATAGGCGAAACTTTTTTGATATTATTTAAATTGTCTTAATAAGGTATTTCATTTTATCCTTAAAGTTGTTAAGTAAAGTATCTTGATTCAAATCATGTCTCACTAATTCATAAACTTTATTTTTAACGTTTTCTGTCTATTTACAATGCGAATTCGAATCTGAATATTATTAGAAGCTTTTTTTTTTAAAAAAAAAATTTCATTTTTAAAAAGATGCATCATGACTTGCATTTTTTCCTAACCCATCATTCTGTTTTTAGCTAGCCAATTTGATAGGTTAGATACCCTAGCTTTTTTTTAACTTTTTGTCTTAAAGATCTAACTAAACTAAGTTGTGGTACCTTAACGACATTGCTTTAGAGTACGAATTAGATTTCAAAACTACAATTAACATAAATGGTTTGTATATAGAATCATTGAATCATAAATAATTTACATTTTTAATATTAAAATATTTTTGCTGGTTACTTGACATGGCTGCATTGTCTGAGTAGTCCGTTTTGTAACCTTTTTTATTTTGTTTTTCTTTCACTGTTCGAACTTCTGCGTTTTTTTTTTAAGTCAAAGTTTTTTCTTTAATTCTTGAATTTAATTTTTTATTTTATGTCTTGATTTGTTTATCAAAGGTATTAATTTGTTGAAAAAAAGTTTTTAATGCAGATTCTAGCCTGTTTTAAGTTAAAATGCGAGTTTTCTTATAATATTCAACCAAAGTAAATAACATAAGTGTTGTGAGTATAGATGAAATTGACGATGAACGATGTGCAGCTGATGATATAGTCAATGCTGATGGTAATGCAGGTTCTGCTGCTGAATTTTTAAATGCTTATTTTATTTTCAATTTTATATGTCAATAAATGATTTGTTTGAAGAAAATAGCCCTGTTTGCAAATGACTGAATGTGTATGTCCTAATGAAGTACTTGATACATTTACATAAAATTTTCAATATACTTGGAAAATTAGCTTTACCATCATTTTCGGATTTTGATAATTCATAATATAATTTTAATTTTTTTTCCAGATTTTTTTAAGGTAACAATTTATTCGTCTTTTCAAAATTTACCACGTCTTTTCAAAATATGACGTAGACTCAAATAAACTGGTTGTTATCGTGCATATTTACCTTAATATATATCAACAAATTTTAATGAAAAATAATTGCTGTGATCATTAGATCAAGATACTCTGCCAGTTATTGTAACTTCTGAGATAAACAACTGCAGTTACTATTCAATAAATTGCGATTTCTTCATCCACCATAAATCTGATCTTGTTAAACTGTTGCTGTCGACCAATATTGTACCATAATTAACATAAGTATTTTTTAGGTTTATAAACGGCAGAAAACGGTAAGTAAATCCGTGATGCATTGAAGTAGTTGTTTATGTTATAATAAATAAATTTATTGTTGCATTAAACAGAGTGTCAAGATGACGCTCTGTTTAATGCAATTTTTAATACAAAACTGTTGGTTTTCTGCTACCATGCTGATCTGCATTTATTTCTGTCAATCAATGTTGATTTCGGAACATTGATGTTTAACTCCATACTTTCTTGACGATATTAATTACTCTTGATGATGTTTCAAAGCGTTTTCAATATCCTCTTTCTTAAAATTGTTGTTTGGCATTTTGTTTAAACTGAAGATTTTGTAATTATTATGATGTTTTTCAAGAGATAAGAATAATATTACTAATTTAATTTATTAGCAAGTGAAATTCGTATATATAGAAATGAATTTATAGAGAAAGTAAACACTTTGATTATATTAACTATTAGCCGAGAGAGTCAACACATTGATAATTGTTTATCACTTCATTAATTATTGACCGTCTTTAGAGGAATATTACATTGCTTTAGTTTTTGTCAAACAACCCACTTATTTTACAACAAAATTAAATTAAAATATTACCATCAAACTTAGTTTGCAATCAAAGTGATGCAACCTAAAAGGCTAGTTCTTCTGTCAAAACATGCATTTTTCTTCATCACGTTCTGATAAAAAAAGATGTTTTGACAAAAGAAGTTCATCTCTATATTGGTATGTTTTTACATTATGATGCTTCATTATACTTTTTGTTCAAAGATTTCTTATCAACTTACTTAACGTTTTTAATCGGACATTTTTTTGGAGAATGTCAAACTATGTAAGTATCAAAAAAAATCAAATACGATTTATTATGTACAAGACTTGTTTGACAATGGAGTGTAAGGCCTGCAGACACTAAATATACAACACCAATATCTAGTTGGATGGAAAAGGACAATTATTGCAAAATTGTACCGAAAAGATAAATGCCATAAAATTTTTTGTTTAAACAGTATTATAATGATATGATATTATTAACTTTTGGTTTATGTATAGCATATTAAAAATGAGAGGGTAGTTAAAGAAAGTCTAACAACTTACAAAAGCTTGAATTTGATAAATCTGATAAAGTTAATTGTAATCTATTCTCAAACCAGCAAATCAAATTAAAGTCATCGAATGCAAAAAATCTTCAACATTACTTCAAGTGAGGTCAGCATTACAATATTTTAAAAAATGAGAGGACTCAATCTTTTCCAGGAAGATTATTAAAAAATTAGGAAACGATTCTTTCCTCAATACCCAAATTTGACTTTCCAAGAACACAAGTATTTACAATATCTATCAAAAAAAACCCAAGCATCAATAACAAGCACCAACAACAATAACCTGCTGTAGAATAGCTAGTTCTTGCATATTTGTAAAAGCTGTGAGTTTTCCAGGTGTTTTTGGATTAAGTTTTTCAACCTTATTATATTATTATACATAGTATCAACACTCCATAAACGTGTAAACCGCTTTGTTAAACCGCTCTATTGATAGCTGCCGAAGAATTTAAAATTTAACGCTTAGCATAATTTATATATTATCTGGAATTAATTTGTTTTGTCTGTGTGGTATACACGTGGCATAGTTTTGCTACGAAATGCTAAAAAAAAAAAATTCAAAAACGAATAACAAAACCTTTAAAATATGTCATGCAACACAATTTACAAAATTACTTACGTTTATACTTTTTATACAGTATTGAAAACTTCTAAACTAATACTCGATAAAAATATGCTTAAAATGTAAAAATACAATTAAAACTTTCTATATATTTATATTCATTGTTTTATGTTTCTGACAATCTATGTTAAAAGGTTACTTTGGATGTCACTCAATGCATGCGAAAATAATACACAACATAATGCGTAATGTTATACTAATTGTAAATAACTACAGCAAGCTTGAAGTACTCTTTAGTTTTGACATACTCAATAATTGTATAAACAAAAACCATATATAGCTTGAATAACAAACTGCAACAACAAAAACACACGCCTCTCACGAGGCAGAGTGCAAAGTATTTCGGATTATTTGATTTTAAAAAATGTCCGAAATTTTTTTATGATCTAATAACAAAAAATAAACAAAATAAAAGTTAAAATAAAAATAAGAAATCAATATGCAAACTATTTTTTTTTTATATTTTGGTGTTTAAGGTTAGACCACTTTTATACAAATGTTTGAAATGAGAAATTTCGAGCTACATTTCTCTTTTTAAATTAATTTTTCTATTTTCATTTCAAGTTACATTTCGAGCGACTTATTTCTTCAAAATATTTACTCTATTTAATTAAAAAGAAGCAAAAATTGCAAAAGGTTGTTTTCACCTTTTTGAGACATTTTTCTTTTAAATAATAATTCCGTTAATCAAGCATTACAATCTGTTTTAAACCCTTTTTTTTTTTTTTTTTTTTTTACTGTTTGAAATACTTCAACTATTTAGTTTAAAAAAATTTAATCAGTAAAACAGAAAAAATAAGTGTTTTTAAAGTTTGATCAAATTATTTTGTTGATAGAATAAATCAGGTTCAAACTGAATATATATTTTTGAAGTTGCAAGAATTTTGAGCTGTTTTTAAATATTTACAAATCGAATAGAATTTTTTTTTTTTAGTGCTTTTTAACAAACTTTGTTTGATTGAAAAAATATATATAGAAATAATTCATTCTACACAATGAAATTAGATGCGTTTACATATCAGTATAGTATGCACCTTTGATAAAGCCAAACCTTGTCTTTTGAATTTTCACTCTGGTACCATTCAGTATTTTAACAAGTTGAAGGCTTGTTTAAAACTTTATTGAGCTTTTGTCTTGGTTTGGTTATTGTTGAAATTGCTGTTGTTGATTTATTTATTTGTTGCTCATCATTAAAGTTAAGCATAAGTTGTTTTTTAATTTGCTTTGCTAATTTTGTGTTTTAGCATCTTTAAACATGTTAATTATTTTATTATGAAACAAACTAAAACTTAAAACTTTCTACATTTTGTCGTTTTTTTTTTAAGTCAAAGTGTTTGAGGCAAAATACTTGTTGCAAGGCTGCTGTAAATTCCAATTCGATCAAATACAATCGTTTTTCAGTTGTTTCTTTGAATAGCTCGAGATACAACAACGTCGAACTTTCGAGTTAGTGTTTGACGTATGCTGATGCTAGCTTTTGTTGGTTTAGATTTAGAAACCAATAGCTTATACTAATTGTTACTTGCCTTGATTACTAAAGAAGCCAATTTTTTCGAAAATTTTTTTGTTAATACTTGCTTTTTTGAATTGCTTTGCAGTGTGTTGAAATATACTTTGTATAAGTTTTTTTGACGCTTAAAAAGAAAATGTTACGTTTAAGGTTATTGTAAATGGGTGATGAATTCTTTCTATGGGTATAATTTTTTTAGGGGTATTCTTTTACAATGATTTTTTTTGCGATACCTTAAATAGAATAAGTGGTAGTTTTTTAAACTTTAAATAGAATAGTTGGTAGTTTTTAAATCTTTGGTAGTTTTTAAAACTTTAAATAGAATAGTTGGTAGTTTTATCAAACTGGAGACTGAAAACGTGTATAGTATGTCTATAATCAACTAACGAGTAAAACACCTGCATGCTGCTAGTTATAAAAAAAGAGAGAATGAGATTTTTAATCCCTACAATTTGTCCCAGGAGATTTTTATTGGGGCATCCAAAATAGTTAAGTGATTGCTATTAGGAAGTAAATGTATAATACGACATCAATAAACTGAATAGTAGTGTATATATGCATACATATTTTTTGAAGCTCCAGATGTTTAACAAATTATGCTTCTAAAGGAACAATTTGTTACTAAAAAAATTCTAAAAATCGTTGTTTGTTGCAACTAGTGACAGTAAAAAAAAAAAGAAATTGGATTCATAAAATCTATTATAGAAACCCATTAGATTTCTTTAAGTCTAACCAACTGACTTTTAACGCTTTCAGCGTCTTAAATAAGGCAAGTAAATTAAATTTGTATGACTTTATTGACTGGTTATTTGACAACAAATCTCAAGTTATTAAACCGGTGTTTTAATCTTCAAGTTATGTTGGATAACATGAAAACTTTGATATAACAGCAGTTTGGATTATTAAATCTAAGAATATAATTTAAAAAAAATCGATGAATGTTTTTAAATTGCGCTTTATGAATTTTATATATATATATATATATATACATATATATATATATATATATATATATATATATATATATATATATATATATATATATATATATATATATATATATATATATATATATATATATATATATATATATATATATATATATATTCTAGTTTAAAAATATATAGATTAACTGATATATTTGTTAATGTTTTTTTCACAACGTGCAGTTGTTAATGTTCTAAATTGTTTACGATGTCGTTTGTCAAACCACGCCTCAATACATTGACGCAGAAAAGTAAACCGTTACAATTCGGCTTATAAAAGCGCTTACAAAAATATAAATAATTAATCTTCGCGTAAAGGGAAAATGACGTTAGTAATTATATTACTGCGACGCCGATAGATTTAAAAAGAAAACGGTTATCTTTATAGTCGATTCAAATAAAGCCTGCTTAGAACAATTTAAATACTTTAATTTTTCCTTCAAAAGTTTTAAATAAGTCTACTTTTTTCTTTTAAAAAAATGCTGTAACAACTTTTTTTAGTTTACTTTGAATTTTTTAACCGACATTTTTATAGCTTGCTTTTTTTTTTTTAACCGAGATTTTAATATTGTCATCGTTTTGCTTTATTATCTTTATTGTTTTTACTATACTATTTGATTGATATATAAAAAAGATTTATTTTTAATCTTGTAGAAACTATATAATAAAAAAAAATTTATTGTACAGAATTATTAACAAACCGGATGCCACTACATAAAATTAGGCTCTCTAAGGATTCCTTAAATATATTACATAAGTAATACCTTAATACGTTTTTGCGTCATAAATTCAATATATTGCACAACTACTTAAGTGTCATATATTTAAATATAAAACATAAACGATAAAAAAATACATTTTTTTAAAAAGAGTATTTTAAAAACCAAAACATTTTTACACAAACTTAAATGTCCGTTGCAAACGCAAAAAGTTTTATGGTATTAATGTAGAAACAGTGTATATTTGTAAAAAATAAATAATAATAACTTAAAAAACATGTAAAATATTCGTAAATTATATTGTTTTTTTTAGTTATACAGGTGCTTCAAGAAGGCTTAACAGTCTTATAGCAGAGCACCGCAGAATTGAATTTAACCAGGAGGTTCACGTCTTCTTCCTTACTAATGATGCGTAAATGACCAGAGCCGGCTTCGAACCGCAGACCCTCCAGTTCTGAGGCCAGAGCTCTCTACGCCACGGCTACTAATTTAAATATAGTTTAAATATACATTTTAAATAAATTTGTAATTCATAACACTATATCGAAAGCTATTTTTTTTAAATGATACAAAATCAAATTTTGTTATGAGTTTTATTTGGCAATACACTGCTGTTAAAGCAATCTCAGTATTCATTCAACGAAAGAAAAAATATTTATCGTATAGGCCTTTGTCACTAATCTATTAATGCGATAAAGCTCATCTAATTTTATTTGCACGGAAAAAAGATCTAAGTTCGGTCAACTGTAATAACTATACGGTAAATGAAACTATCCCGCAATTAGCTCAAAGAAAACAACACTAAAAGCGATTACTTAATAAGTGTAAGTAATAATTTATGTTTTAAGTGTAACGCGCATTTACATTTTATCAAGAACTAGTTTTTGAGAACAATATAATTTCAAATAGTATTATTTGAAATTTCTTCTCCAACCTGTTTTTATATTGATAAAGCTACACTTTAAAATAATCAAGTATCATAGCAGAATAAGTAAACAATTAAGCAATAAAAGTCATATATTGGATTAAATTTAGTTTAAATTTTTTTAACTAAATAAAATCTAATATATAACTTTTACTGCCTTATTGATTACTTTATTAAAATAAATAAACATTTTTTTAATAATAGGTAATTAACTTTTAATATTTTTGGCAAGAATATTTATTGAAAATGATCTTATGTAACGTTATAAATATAAAATATAATATTTATGATATGATTCTTTGTTTTATCTCATATAATGTTATTGATATTTACTGCAATAATACTTTTTTACCAAAGTTTTTAAAAGTTAAAAAATTTAAAACAAGACATCAAAAACATTAACATATAAAAAAAAATTAAAAAGGTAATATAAATTCATATATAAAAACAATATAAATATAAAAACATTAACATAAAAAAAAAGTTAAAAAGGTAATATAAATTTTTTATTTTATTTACTGATATTTATTACTACTGTAATAAATATCAAAATTAAATAATTTAATAAAGACTGAATATTATTTTTAATTTTTAGAATTAGAAGCATTTGAAGCTTGTTGCTGGTTAAAAGCAACAGGATTTAGCTTATTTGCCAAAATGTATGAAGGTAATATTTTCTTATTGATGTAAATTAAGAAAAAAAAAATATGGGAATAAATATTAGTTTCAAATTTTTATTTTAATGTTAATTCGCCTCCCCAAGGTCGAAAAGGCCACTACAAATGAGGAGGCTACTTGATTGTGGTTAAAACCCTCTCAATTCAATACACAAACCTTGACAAACAAGGCCGCTGCACAGAGAAACAAGTTTATATATATATATATATATATATATATATATATATATATATATATATATATATATATATATATATATATATATATATATATATATATATACACACACACACATAGGAAGGTTTGAAATGTTTGAAATAACCAACTTATATACAACAAGAATATTTCAAATTTTTTTACATTTAAGTATGACAAAAAGATTCTTTTAAAAAAAGATTACTGTGATAGGAGAATGGGAACAAGAAACCCTAAAATCTTAACCCCCCAAACGTAAGAGCAACAAGTTGATGAAATTATTTTTGTACTATTTACAACTAGACTTACATTCATCAAGAAATTTTAAATTTTATAGTAAAATATTTTAGTGTTCAAAAGTTATGACCATATAAAGTTTGCAACCTCCTCAGATAGAGGGGGTTTAAACTTTAAATGGTCATAGTTTTTAATAAACTTAGATTTTTAATAAACTTAGCATGGTTTTTTTGCTCTTTGTTCTCCTGGGTACTTTCATTGGGACTATTTGGTTTTGCTTTCAATGTCATAACCATGGACCACTGGCGGATTAAGATTTCTTGGGGTCCGGGGCTATTTTTGTTTTTGGAGGCTTTTTTATGAGCCAGAGCCTAAAATAACTTTTTTTTAAAAAAAAAAAAAAGGTTCTCTAAAATTTTTTTGGGGCCCTTAAATCTGCAGGGCCCGGGGCTATAGCCCCTAGCCCCTTGATCTGGCACTGCCATGCACTCATGATTCATCATTCTTTTAAAATAATTTTGAAATAAACTTTGCTGATACACATCTTATGCCCAAAATATCTGAAAAATTGCCTAGAATGAACTAACATTAATTGAATTGAATGACTAAATGAATTGCTATGGAATATGACAACATTCTTGACAACTTCTCTAATTTGATGATTATTCAAAATAATATTTTTCACTACTTCAATGTTTTCATCTGTTTTCAACTTCACTATGGATATCCCAATACATCTGTTGATGTACTGGGGTATCCATAGTGAAGTTTGTCATTGACATCTTCTCAGCCATCTTTGAAGAGCTTGTACCATTTATAAATAATTGTTATACTAATAGCAGACTCACTGTACGCCATTGTCAACATTCAAGTGTTTTGGAGCACTTAATCCCATTTTTTACACACAATTTGATACGAGTTTGTTGAAACATTTTTTTGTATAACAAAAAGTAGCCAATCACATGTTTAATACTTTTATCTATAAATGAAAAATGATGTTATACTGAAACAGTCATTTAAAGGCACTTCAGTACATGCAGTGGCTAAGAATTTGAGCTTGGGAAGATGTTATTTTGGTATGAAGGAACTTTATAGTAGCACATTAATTTTTTGTTATTTTAATTATTCGTAATTTTTTTTTTCTGAATGTCTGGATTTAAGATGGTATTTTAAAACTTAAATTGTACAAAATATATTCGGACAATATCTACTTAAATCCCCCAATAAACAAATTTATAGATTTAATAAACAATTTTATAAGTTTCTTATAAGCTCTATGTATGTGTGCCTATGTTAATTTTTTTCGTCTTAAAGTAAATTTTTTAAATGAATTGTTCTTCTACCGCTAACTAACAAATATTGAAGTGAATAAGGAATGAGTATAAAAAAAATCAGAGTTGAATAGTTAAGTATAGAAATGGTTGGTGAAGTACTATACTTTATGGGTCCGGACAGCTTATATATATATATATATATATATATATATATATATATATATATATATATATATATATATATATATATATATATATATATATATATATATATATATATATATATATATATATATATATATATATATATATATATATATATATATATATATATATATATATATATATATATATATATATATATATATATATATATATATATATATATATATATATATATATATATATATATATATATATATATATATATATATATATATTAGTACCCTTAGTACCCTCTACATAAAAAATATTAAAAGAAAATTTGTATTGCTGTTTGTATTATGATTATTTTATGCTGAATAAAATCTTTTCTTTTACATAGAAAAATGTTTTCCTCTGGAGGTTGGAGCTGTAAAGATTGCCTGCAATCATTTGGATGTTGATTCATTGCAATCATTAATCAAGTAAGATTTAAAATAATCTTTCTTTACATAAAATTTAAGATTTTTAATGTAAAATGAAAATAATCTTATACTGCTGAGTTAGGTGAGCATGATGATGTCACACTCACCTAATGTCAAATAGCCTGCTGCCGGGGGCTTCAGTACATACATTGACTGACAAATAGCCTGACTCGCCGTGGAGTGCTGCTACATCGACTGAGGGTTTGGTATGGGTCAGCAACATTTTCATTCATTATTCTTTGTTTTCCCTCATCGTTTTCTAAAAATGCTCACTTAATTTAGGCTAGCAAAAAAAGTGAGCAATTGCGCATATAAATATGCTATAGTAGATAAATATATATATATATATATATATATATATATATATATATATATATATATATATATATATATATATATATATATATATATATATATATATATATATATATATATATATATATATATATGGGTAATTCCACGCAAGTGACGGCCGTAACATTTGACACTTTTTTAGTCCAATAAGAATGATATTGATTTGAAATTTTCCAGAAATGTTAAATACTATTATAAAATTTAGTATACAAAATTTAAAGTATTCAAATCTTCAACTTATTTGAAAAATCGTCTTAACGTAGCGTGACGGTCGTAACGCTTACTTTTTGACAATTCTAAACAAATCAGCTTTGACAATCTTTATGCAGTCATCTACGCGGTGTAAAAAAAATCCTTTGCTGTGTGCATTCACTACATATTAATCTTGCTATAGGCCAAGTTTTTATAGTTTTTGCTTAATGTTTTACAAGAATTTTATTATATTTTTTGTCATGACAGTTGTAACCGTGACGGTTGTAACGAAAATGCCAATAGTGAAAAACAACTGAATGCATGGCGCATTTATTGAATTCATTGCAATGAATGGCGTAAAAAAGGTGAGTGATTATAAAAACCAAGTAAGTTATGTTAAAATATACACTTTATAACATCTCTGGGATAATATTACATTTATAATGGGTATAGTGATCCGGGTATGACGATGACTGGGTATGATAATGATGACTGGGTATGATCATATTACTTTTATTTGGATTAAGCAAAAAATGCTTAATGCCCTTTTATTCTCCTGTATACTGTATACTATGACTATGGTTTAAATAATAAAATCGTTTTTTACTTGGTTTAAATAATATAATCATTTGCGCTTAAACTTTGTATAAAGTCAAGAAGCCGTTTTGGAAAAACAAACATATCATGATGGTCGTAACGTGCCTAATAATGTATTGAAAAGGTGATCTAAAGCACTTTAAAAAAAAAAATTGAAACGATAATAAAATTTGTATTATTATCTTTACTTTCGACCGTCACGAAAAAAAGTCTACTAGACTTTTTTTCGTGACGGTCGTAACGTATTGTTTTCATAAATATATTTTTCTTATAGACCTAGTTAGAGTGCGTTTTTATAAAAAAATATTATGAATAATGTTTAATTTATTCTTTAATTCAAACTTAGAAGTAATAGTTATTTAAAAAAACAGCACTGAAACCTTTTTCAACATTTCACAACAGGGCTGTATATAAGTGTTAAAAAAATGTTTATATAACCCTTACAACTTTATAACTATGTTAAGGTATGATAAAAGAATTTTTTTTTGATAATTTTTTCCTCAAAGATATTCTTAAATAGTTGAAAAATAAGTTTATTGAGGTTACTATATGTTAGCGTAACATTTTTTTCCTCTTTTACGTGGAATTGCCCATATATATATATATGTTTTCAAATGAGATAGGTCTAGTAAAATTTGGTTGATAGGAAAAGTAAAATCTTTTTGCAGATCTTTACTTGACAGGAAAACTACCATTTCAATAACAAGTTCACTATGTTATTTTTTTTTTTTTAATTTAGCCTTATCAAAGGAAAACAAAATATTTATTGGAAAATATTGCAGAAAAATAGGCACACAAACTTTTTAGTTGATTTCAACTCTACTTTCTTATAAATCCAACTGTTATTCATAATTATTAATTTATATGTTAGTTTGACAATTTTCTATAAAAGGTTGCATAAAATTACTTATAATAACCAGTTTAGTCACATTTAAAGTTTTTAAAATGTCCATCAGAAACGTGTCAAAAAAAAACTGTAAGCAAAACAATGTATGGCAAGCTATTTATGAATAATGTTACATGTAATCAGTTACAGAAAAATAAAAAAGAGGAGTTTTAGAAAATTACTTCAGAAATATTCTGCAATCATTTGAAACAACAAGTTGCATCCAATGTAATGCAGGTTGAAAAAAGGTTAATGATGGTTAAAAAGTCTTATTTGTAGTAAGCAAGAACCAATCAAAGGTTAACTTATCCTGAACTCACCAACACATTAAATGAAAATGTGAAAAATTTCTTTTTAAATATATTTAGAAACATTTTACTTAGGAAAAGAATCGGTGTTTGTGCAGCTGTTAAAAAACCTAACTTATGTAGCTTGCAAAAAAGCACATATGGGATATTTTAAATACTTTTGATGTTTTTGTTGTGATTTTGACATATCAAGTTTTTTTTTCATTGATAATTTTTGTTATTATGTTTGATAAGATTTTTATATATAAATGTATGTTTTAGTATTTCATATATATATATATATATATATATATATATATATATATATATATATATATATATATATATATATTTGTATATATATATATATATATATATATATATATATATATTTATAGTTTTAGTATTTTAGTATATATATATATATATATATATATATATATATATATATATATATATATATATATATATATATATATATATATATATATATATATATATATATAAGTATATATATATATAAGTTTCTGATATTTTTATTTAGGCGGTTGGAAACACTGAATAAGTGTGCTAAGATTCTGCAGAATATGGTGTGTTGAACTTTTGTTTTTATATCAATTTTAATTTTCTTTCATTTGCAATGATTGATTCCATTTTTTTCATGAATGTTTTAATTTTTAATTTTTTTTCAGTGTAAAGTTTTTGTTTGAATGATTGCGAACATGATGGTTTAGTGTAAAGTTTTTGTTTAAATGATTACAAATACGATTGTTTAGTGTAAAGGTTTTTTTTAATGATTGCAAACACGATTGTTTAAAGTTTTTATTTGAATTATTACAAACACGATTCTTTAGTGTAAATTTTTTGTTTGAATGATTGCAAACATGATTGTTTAGTGTAAAGTTTTTGTTTATATGATTGCAAATACAACTGTTTAGTGTAAAGGTTTTTTTTTAATGATTGCAAATACGATTGTTTAGTGTAAAGGTTTTTTTTTTAATGATTGCAAACATGATGGTTTAGTGTAAAAGTTTTTTTTTTAATGATTGCAAACACAATTTTTTAGTGTAAAGTATTGGTTATTAGAAAATACTACAAATTGTTTAAAATAAAGCTGAAGAAAATAAATTTGAGGTCAACAGAATAGTTGCAAAATATCATTTTAATATAGATACTGTTTACTTAGTTAACATGTTGCTCAAAAAGTTTATTATTAAATTTCAATTTAAGAACTTTTCATCTTTATAACACATTCTAATAAAAAAAGAAAAGAATCTATTAACAATCTAATTTTGTTAAACTTTAGAGAATACTTGTTTCTCATATGAGCTATTTTGATGTTTACTAATTATCGTTTTAAAGTTCTGTACATAGACTAATTTTAATGCTTGATTTCATCTTTTTCTAATTGATAGGAAATATTAAGATATTTAATATTTAATTTTAAGATATACAATTTAAAAATATGCAGATCAGAGCAGCATTTTTAAAAGCAAATAGTAAACTAAGTATTATTACCAAAGCCTTCAGTTATAAAACTGTGTGTTTTTTTATAAACTTGTGTTTTTTTAAGAAGCTGTATTGTGCATATGTGACCACATCTCGAATTTAATGTTCAAGAATAGAATCCTTGCTTTAAAAATGACATTTCCAAAATGTGCATATACATGCAACTAAGTTAATGCCTGGAATTAGACTCCTGTTATACAAACAGGTTATAAAAACTCCTGTTATACAAACAGGAATCTTATAAAACTGATCAAATGAAGATAATGTGGTAATTTAGTACAGTTTTATATATACTTTCGTAATATTAAAGCCATTTCATGGAACAATCTGCCTAAGTTTATTATTGTTGACTGGACCAGCTGGTAATGCAAGAAGGAATCAATTTAAACATACTTTATGCATTTAACAGGTTAAATGCCAATTATGAACATTTCTGCACAAACAGAATAATAAAGCCATGTTTTCTATAGTAAAAAGGTTTACTAGATTCAATTGTTAAAGCAACATCTGTGAAAAATTTCAAAATCAAAATTATAATTTGGTCAAAAAACATTTTTTCAGAAAAGTTTTATAACTAAACTTCAGAAAATATAATTAATATTTATATATTGTCTACCTTATAATTGTAAAGGCTGTCATAGATTTAACATCTCAATCTCCAACAGCAATATTTATTATTATTTTTTATTATTATGATGATGATATTATATTGTATGGAAGCAGAATCAATGTATTAAAGAGGACTTAAAAGTAGTTGGAAAAAAGTAATGCTTTGAAACAGTTATGTCCTGATAAATTTTTAAATTTTTATTCTAAAATACATAATTAATTTTTTTGATTATTTCAATTCTTCAATAAATTAGTAATTTAGAAATGTGATTTTTGAATACTTATTAAAATTCCATGTTTAAAAGTAAAATGAGCAGGTTTCTTTGAAGTTGATTGGAAGTGTTTAGAATTTTCACTCTATTTTAAGTTGTTCTTTTTACTAGTAAAATGTTTTTACTCTATTTGTTCTTTTAACCAGTAAATTTATTTTAATCAATTTAGAAAATATTTTCTTAATTAAATATTTAAGTTCTTGTTTCCATGGTGTTGTTTATATTGTATTTTTTAATGCACATTTTTATAGTTGTTATTTAAAAATTTTCAAGTAAAAAATTGCGAATGTTTAAATTCTGTGTGTTATTATTAATATTTCAATGGCAACTTATTATTGTTGTTACAATTTTTATATAAAAGTACGTTATTAACAATAGTTTGAAATTATTATAAAATTGTTGGGATAAATGTGTATGTATATGTATAATGTTTGATATTTAAAAGTATATAAAGTTCGTCATATCCAGAAAAATATATATATATTTATACTTTAGGTTAATTTTTTTTTCAAGACTTTTTCAAAACAATTTTCTAAATTTTGTGTGTTTATTATTTGTTGTTGTTGTTGTTGTTTTTTCAAATTTATAAACTTTTATTGAATAACTTAAATTGCTCAAAATATTTCACAGAGAAAAATGTTTTCATTTAAATTTTTTTTATTGTAAAAAACTGGTTCACAGAGAATAAATGTTTCATTCAAATTTTTTGTAAGAATTGATTTCCAGTTCATTTCAATGACTTTCATGCATATTTAAATAATTATAATAAAGTACAGGAACCTCTTTTCTTTTCTTATTGTGAGTATTTAATAGTAATTTAAAACATGCTATTAAATTAATTATATTATTTTAATGTGATGTTTTTCTTTATAATGTTTCTTATTGTTTTTATTTTATCATGCTTAGACTTATGACAATTTTTTTTTAATTATATTAAAATTAAATAGCATTGGATTTTTTGTGATTGTTGTCATTTATCAATTATTCTCTCAACTTATATACTTTTTGTCTCATATATAACATTACCACCGAGTTTGGTGGGATTTTAAAATAATTTCTGTTTGTTTTATACAAATGAACATTGTTATGATGGTAAAAAGTAAACACACTTGTCATCTTGTTTACTTTTAAGCCATTGAAATTCTTAAGGAGAAAACATAGAAGGATGTTTGAAGTTTTTTTAAATTTAATTCTACCAACAAACTATTTTTACAAGCAAACTTTTTTTAAATAATTATTTAAATTTTTTATTTAAATTTTTATATTTTGGATTAAAAGGTTTGTTGTTAAGAATTTGTTCTTTAAATTTTTCAATAATTTATAATATAATGTATAATAAATATATTTAATACATACTTATTATATAAAACATACACATGCACACATTCACACACAAACACACACATATTTGTGTTTATATACATGGGGGGGGGGGGTGTATATATATATACATATACACACAAATATAAAATTATCTTTACACACTTAGCCTAACATAAAACATCACTGATGGTGTCACAATTTAAGAGCCGTCCTTTGGTGTTTCAGTACACACATCAACTCAGGGTTGAGGCAGATGTTCAAAGTCAGGCAGGAGACTCAGGGTTGGGATATAATCTAGATATAAAGTACATTTGTTACAATGCTTCCTTTTACTTCTTTATGTTCAATTGTCCACGTTTAAAGTCAACATTTTAAAAAATCAAATAAGCTGTTTATATATATATATATATATATATATATATATATATATATATATATATATATATATATATATATATATATATATATATATATATATATATATATATATATATAATAGTATTGATACAAATCCATTTTTTATTTATAAGAAATTAGGTTTTAAATAATTGTATATGTAATGAATTAAGTCGTGATAAATGAATTTATAAAAAAGTTTATGAAAAATTTATAAAAATATTTGGCAATTATTATTTTATACCTGTTATTTGTTATAGGAAAAAAATCAATTGTTAAATAGACTGGACGCTGATCAACTTGAGTTTGCTAATCGACAGCCTCTTATTGACATAGATCAAAACACAGATAGCAATCAAGCACAACTTGAATCATTTCCTGATAGATTCCCACTTAAATTTGATGAGGATTTAGGTATCAAGAAGGATGATATTGATTTAATGAACTCAGAGTTTCTTATCTGTGCTAAAAAACAGCTCACAGAAGAAATTAAACAACATCTTCGTAACAGCTCTTATGACAATGTGATGCTTGATAGCAGTATGGATGTTTTAATTGATTCTAGTAATCAAATCAAAATTACTCTAGAAAATCTTGATCATCATTTATCTGAAGTGAATACAGAAGATGAAGACGATAATGACATTAATTCAATATCTTCACTAGATGAGTTGGATGGAGTAAATAGAAATTCTTTTCAAGGTAGTTTTCGTGGACATCTTCAAGTGCCTGGCATGGGTTCAACTGACTCTGGTGTACCATCAACACCAATAATGAGATCTCCGAGGTAATTTAATTAATATTTTTCTGATATTTATAAGTAAAGTAACTAAAATTAAGTCATCTACTCTATAATCACAGTATTTAGTGTATTTAAATAAAAAATTTCATATCAAATTGAACTACTTACAATTCTTTTTCATTAAGTATATACATTTCTTCAAATGACCAAGAATATAATAAATGCACAAATAATAATGATAGTTATGTATAACATGTTAAATTAAAATACCACCTTCATGTTACCTATTATGTTAGATTAGAAGTTCCTTCTAATGTCACATAACAGCTTTATACAACATGTTTATATGCAAAAAGAGCTCCTTCAAACAGAATAGCTAGTTGCAATGTAATGGTTACACATAATTATCAGTAAAGTATAGGGAATGAAAATAATAAATTGCTAAAAGTCTTTTTTATTATTTTTGTGCGTTATATTTATTTATTTAGAGAGAGTGTGTGAGAGAGAGATATATATATGTATATATACATATATATATATATATATATATATATATATATATATATATATATATATATATATATATATATATATATATATATATATATATACATATATATATATATATATAATTTATATATATATATATATATATATATATATATATATATATATATATATATATATATACATATATATATATATATATAATTTATATATATATATATATATATATATATATATATATATATATATATATATATATATATATATATTTAATTTAATATATATATATATATATATATATATTAAATTCTAAAAGTTCTAGATGGGCCATTAGAGTCAGGGAGACTACTCTTTTTTATTATGTTTTACTGAAAGAGTCATTTAAAAGTCATGTCAACTAAGGTCTCAAAACAAAGTTATATAAAAACTTCCAAATTAATAAATTTAAGTTAAAAAAAAAGCTATGAAAAAATGTACATTTTTTTCTTTGGTTAAAAAAAATAAAAGTTTTTATGAAATAACATTTAAACTAATAATCTTTATATAAAATGATTATTATTTTTGTTATATAGGTATTCTGTGATACTTGAACTAGACTGAGCAATGAAAGCCTAAAGAGAAATATCAAACATTTTTATTAAAAAAACTTTTTATATAAAGGAGGAAAAGTAATAAAAACAAAGAAAAACGATCAGATGTTCAGAATAAACAAATTTTTTTAAGAAGAAAAAGCTTATACACAATTCATAGTCAACAGTAATTTTATTGTTAAAGTATACCTAGAACAAAACAGGACACATAAGTAACAATAAATTTTCATTAAATATAAAAGTTTAACTTACTCTAAAACAAATATACATATGCATAGATATATCAATATTTAAAATGAATAAATATAAAGTGATAGGAGGTATAAGATAAAGAAAAAACATTATTGCTTTTGTGTAATGTAGTGGTGGTAATAAACTTCTCCTCAGAATCGTGTTTATTATTAATCGGGGTTTTGAATCGCCTCAGCACCAATTTATAAATAACATAAAGAAATGAAAAATAATTAAATCAAAATATTAAATATTTTTACACAAAAAAAAAAAAATTATTAATCCAAAATAAAAGATTAAAATAAGCACATCACCATATCACTGGTCAAAAATTGGTCAATATAAAAATAAGCACTTACCATATCACTGGTCAAAAATTGGTCAATATAAAAAATTGAAAATAGTAAACACTATAATAATAGAAAAAACTCAAAATACTACACAACATCGCAAACATAAAAGACGTTATAAAATAAAACTTTATTAAAATCACAGCTAGTCACTGGTACTTTTTGGAGAGATGCACTCGAGCTGATAAGATAGAGAAGCGTATGTAAATTTGTAGAAACAACAAAACCATACAAAGTTTACAAAAACCTCATGCTATATTAGATACATTGACTGAACTTTGCTAACCAATCAAAAGTATAACATTATGAACAACCCATGAAACTTAAATTAGTCTTAAAATCAAATAGAAGTTATAAAAAAATTATTAATCTTATGAAAAAAAAAGAGTTACAATAAAATATAGCAACAACGACGATAACAAATGGAGCCATACTAGAAAAAATGTCATAAAAACCACATAAGGCGCAAAAAGGAATTAAAATGAGGCAAAATGTTAAACCAATATAAACAAACCATTTTTAATAACAAAAAGTTAAACCAATATAAACAAACCATTTTTAATAACAACCAAACCATTTGTATATATATATACATATATATATATATATATATATATATATATATATATATATATATATATATATATATATATATATATATATATATATATATATATATATATATATATATATATATATATATATACAAATTAAAGATATATATATACCATTTGTATATATATATATATATATCTTTAAAAAGTTTTTATTTACACTAGTTACTAGTGTGAAAAAGTTGCCTATGAAAAAATTTGCCTGAAAAATTGCCTATGAATAAGGCTTATTGATAATATTAGGCCTAATGCTTAATTAATAATTAAACTATATACCTGTCTAATGCTTAAAGATCTTTAAAAACCCTAAGTATTATCCAATTGTAAAAAAAAATTGTGCAGTTAATGACTAACTAAACTAACTATGGATCTGTAACAGTGACAAAAAATTTTTATGGCCATTCAAGAGTCACTCATACCTATATGTATTTTGTGAATATGTATATATATGTAAATTTTTATATAGATATATATACAATCCTCGCAATTAAGGTCAGCATTTGGCAATGTCGACCTAACTGCCAACCTGAAAGTGATTATAACTTTTGGAAAAAGTCATGATAACCTTTAAAAAGTTTAGTTAATGGAAAACCATTAAATTTTTTTAAAAGAAAACAACCCAAAGCTTAAACATATACAACAAAACATTAAATATACAATCAAAGCAAAACATATTCTTCAGAGCATTGTATAAGTTATTTAACTAAGTTAGAGAATGACTAAATATTGAGTAGAATGATTTGCCTTCCCAAATTTTTGAGTTTACTTTTTTACTCATCCCCATGGGATGAATCAAAAGTAATGTCAAAAAAAATCCCTAATGACACAAAAAATGTTGAAAAAACTTATTAGCGAGTGGCCTAAAATTAACTTCAACTAATTGGATAAGTTATTAATTAGAGTGACAAGAATATCTGTAGTCGTTATTGTTGCCTAGGGTGATTAAATAGGCAAGTAAGTTATAAACTAATCTAGTGGGATTTTATATTAATTTTTATGCAAACTTAATAAATAGGAAAATAACATATAATTCAGGTAGATTTTTTTTTAAAGTAAATCTTTGATATCTTGTATTAAAAAGGATATATATATATATATATATATATATATATATATATATATATATATATATATATATATATATATATATATATATATATATATATATATATATATATATTGGTAACTTTTTGGTAACTCCAGTTTCCAATTAAAAAAAACTGATGAACTTTGGTTAGTTAGAATGTAACTGAAAAGTGATTGGTTTTATTAATTTTTTGGAAAAGGTCACCCACCATAACTCCTGATTACACACTGGCTCCCATATATCATTGAATTTTTTTTTTCTTCAAAAGTATATCAACCTGGGTCTCAAAGGAACCAGAATTTCATAGAGATTTCAGAAATGTTAATTGTTTTAAAAATAAGTTGCTAACATTTTACATACTAAAAACAACAATTCTTAAGTAAAAATTGAAGAGGTCTTTTTTTATGACATTTTTTTTTGCAATCTTTTTTTTTTTAATGTTTCAGTAGAAAGAATATGAATTTTGAAATCACTATAAAATTCTGTATATATATATATATATATATATATATATATATATATATATATATATATATATATATATATATATATATGTGTGTGTGTGTATTAAAGAATTCAATTAAGTTTGCGTTTTTGCAAATAAAAGGAAATAATAACAAGCAAATATTTTGCTGTAATAAAAATGTTTCATATCTAGATATCTAGATATTACCTAGCCAAACCCTCAGTTGATTTACTGAAGCTCCTACAGGTCTATTTTAGCATAACATCAGTGTATATGTATGTATGTATGTATGTATGTATGTATGTATGTATGTATGTATGTATGTATGTATGTATGTATGTATGTATGTATGTATGTGTATATATATATATATATATATATATATATATATATATATATATATATATATATATATATATATATATATATATATATATAATAACAATAATAATATTGTGATGTATAAGTAATTTTTAACTTATCTTTTTAATAGTCTTTTTTGGTTAGTGAAAACAAAATTTTTAAAATTTATCTTCAATACAATAAGGAACACTCTTGTTAAGAAATAAAAATGTGTTACCATCTTTATATATAGAGAAAAAGTTTTTTGATAAGCATTTTAATTGCAATAAGTTATTAGTTACATTTATTATAATTATAATTTAAATTTTTAAGATTTGTCAATCACAGTAAGTTAATCTACCTTTTTCCATACCATTTTCAGTGGGATTAGCATGCATGTTGATTACTTCAATGATTATATATTAAATTTAATTAAGGCCATAAATGTTATTGTAATTTGTAAGCTTTATTAACTTCACAAAAAAATCAGAATTTGTTTTAATATTTTATTTTTTTTTGTAAAAAAGTTTTTAAGATTTGGCTTAAGACAAGAAATTATATCAAATGTTATTTTGCTATATACATATATATATATATATATATATATATATATATATATATATATATATATATATATATATATATATATATATATATATATATATATATATATATATATATATACAGTCTATTGATTAATTAGCTTTTTTTTGTCTTGTTTTTTTTTTCTTAAATAAATAGTTAAAGGATTTAATACGTTGTGAAGAAAACTATTGTATGTCATAAAATTGTTTTTTGTATGGGAAGTTTGTACAGGCATATAACAGTTTCTCAGCATGATTGTCATAAATGTCAACAACCTAACTGAAATTTACATTTTACTGCAAACTTTGATTTTGCAATGCAAACAATATAGTGAATGTTACTGTTTACTATTTTGATTATAAAGTTTTTAAATAATGCGTGTTCAAACAAACTCCATTTTTTATCACTGTTGTTATCGAATTAGATTGTACCATAAGTTTCAAGTTGGTTAGGTTGTTGTTTTATATTGAAGTATACCTAATCTTAAAATTAAATGGATTTATGGATACTTAATTAAAAAAATTAAAATATTTATAGAATACTTATACAATGTCAAAACATTTTTTGTTTAGTTTTTAAAGTCTTTACTTTTTTTCAGTGAATTTTTTGTTTAGTTAGTTAGCATTAGTTAAGGTTACATTTACAAGTTTTAAATATAACTTGTTTGTAAAAAATAATAATGCATTTAATTTATTTAAGTAGAAATAATAGTTTTGTGATATTTTATTTTATGTATGTATATATATATATAAATAAATATATATATATATATATATATATTTTAATTTCTATTGATAATTACTTAAGGAAAACTCAATATTATGTGAAATTAACTAGATTCTCCTATGATGTAGAAAGACTCATGTCTCAGTGGTTTTTTAATTCAGGGTGAGTATTTAATATGTTGGGTGGGAACTGGAATCTTGTGTCTTTTATTTTTAAAAGTTTTAAATTCAATATTTATTTTTTTTAATTTTTGTGGAAGAAAACCTTTACTCTTATAAATATTACCAGATTAAATTATAGCTTTTTATTTACATGCTTAGTAATTCTCATTAATCTTTTAAAGTCTATAATATTCTGTTTTTCTTCTGTTCTTTACATTTAAACAATGAATGGAAAATTAATTATTTAAACTTTAATCCTGTTGATTGGTTGTTTAAAGTTTTTAGTTAAAAAAAAAGATCAACATAACAAGAGTTTTTTTTTTTTTTCTTTTTAAAAGTTTCTGGTTTTAAATGATTTATTCTAAATATTGTTTAAAACAAAACATAAGACCTTGATATTTAAGTCAAGTTGATAGTACTTATATGACTAGTAACCATAGTAATCATAGTCAGATGGTTCATAAAATATATATTAATTATAATGAAGTAAATGTAAAAATCAGAGATCATGAATAAAAGTACAGACCTTAAACACTCTGTATTTAGACATAGGTAAAAATATTTATGCACAAGCTAATCTTTAAATAGTTGTAGATATAACATACAATGTTGATTAATTATATTTAAGTTTTTCTAAATTTTTGATTTCAGTTATTTATTTTTTTAGTGTCAGGAAGAGGAGAGTTAGATGGCACAGTTTTCAAAAATCTTGTGAAAGAGAATCAATGTTAATGTATGCTTTTTAGATTTTTATATTTTAAGAACTTTTGTAAAGTTTTATAAGAGCTTAAATAAAAGTTGTGTTTTTAAAAAAAATTTTTTTTTTCCAGAAGCAACAACATTATGACATTATCAGCTGGACAGTTAAATGTACTAAAAAAACTATCACTTTTGCGGCTTACAGCGCTTATAGAAAGATATTCGTGCAATAATAGAACAAGTTGGCATTGGTAAGTTTATTGTTATATATATATATTTTTTTTTACATTTTTTATAATATAATCTAATAATAATAAATAAGTAATAAATAATAATTACCTTTTTTTTATATATATGTTTTTCAGGACAGTTCCAAAAATATTAAAAAAGCTTAAAGTGCATGATTATAAAGGTAATACTTTTTGGCATATAAATAGAGTTATATATAAGATTAAAAAATGTTCTACAATAAAAATTTGTTCTGGCTTTTTAGTTTTTATATGGAAATAACTTCCACAAATCTTAAAAACATTTATCAACATCAAAGAAAGTTGAATTTTCAATAAAATACTAAAAACCTGGAAATTGTTTGTTTACTCTGTTTTCACAATAAAGATTATTGCCTTGTGGCTCAGTTATGTGTCAATACTGTTGTCAGATAAAATTGTGTCAACACTGTTGTCAGATAATTGTTAATTCTTAATGAAGAGGCATCTTGTTCAAGTGTTAATCAGATGAGTGAAGCTTATTTAACCACA